AATTTACAAATTTTAAAAAAGGTAAAAAAAGTTTAAAAATAGTAAAAAATAACATGTTAAGATTTTTTAAAAAAGAAGAAAAATTATAATAAAAATAAAACAAATTTTAAAGGATTAAATTAAAAAAATTGAAATTGAGGGACCAAATTAATGCTAAATATGTGTTGCAAGAAAAAAAAAGAGTTAGAGGGGTTAAATTGCAAAATATAAATTATAAAGGACTAAATTGAGTTAATTGAAAATTCAGAGGCAAAATTGTAATAAGTGACCAAAATGAATTACACATCAATATTAGAGGGACTTGGTTGAATTTGATTTGTTTTGCTTTGAATTTGATTGAAAATGATTGGAAATGAGTTTTACTTGATGAATCAAGCTTGAAACAAAGTGGAGAGTATTAGAAGCTTATTTTGCATGATGAAAAATTAAAGCATGATTATGTATTGTTATAAATTACTTTTTTACGCTAAGGTGATTGTGTTGAGTTAGGATCTTCAATTGATTCATTTGAGTTTATTTGATAAGCTAATAAAAGTGAGTGAATAAGTTAAGAATGCAAATTAGTGAAATCGGTTTAAATTGGTAATATGGGCAGTAGGTTTAAAAATCACTATAAATTGTACAGAATGAATAAAAATGATTTTTATATGCTAGATTCGTAAATCAATCTAGTTTTGTTAAAATAAATGGATACTGATTTATAGGTTTATACAAAAGATATAAATTTTTAATTGGTGATAGGTCAGAAACTTGGCAGAAAATTATGCTCCAAGCAGATTTTGTAAGCTAGATTGAAAATTTTGTCATAAAATGTAAAAGTTGAATTAGAAGAAGTTCCTTATATGATTAGATTTGTATTCAAATATAGTTTTTAATGGCACAAACGAAATAATTTTTAAGTGTATATATATTTTTTTTGGTATATCCAAAGTACCTCAGGCTTTGCCTGAGACTAATCCCCCGAGGTACTGTCGGGCACGAAGGTGGGGACCTCTCCCAAGAAAGTTTGCTGCACCACAAGGGTTCGAATCAGGGACCCCTTGCTTAAGCGACCAAAGCCCCTTCCACTCAGGCCAACCTTCGTTGGTATTTTTAAGTGTATATATAATACATAAAAATACTTCTTTGAGGGTAATGCAACAACCAATATATGAAATGGTGGTAAATTATGCATTTTGTGATATTTTATGTTATATGCTATTTTAATTGGTTGAAATGAATCAACTCTATTATATTATCATGAAAATGACATTTATCATATGAGGAAATTATGATCATTTCATGGAATTTGCTTAGATGATGAATTTATATTTGAATCAAAATAGAAACTATGTTAGGAAAACTTAAAGTATTTGGCCAAAGGAAAGAATAAAGAAAATTTTTGGTAAATTTTTACAAGGTTTAAAAATTATGAATGAGTGATTCTATATTATTAGAATATGACTTGGACCAATTTGAAAAATGGTGAAAGTATAGGGATCTAATCGCATAAATTGAGAAATATGAGGATTAATGTGTAATTGCTTAATATGATATATTAGGATGAGATTAAAAGTGGGAGTGCTAAATTTGATGTCTAGATGGTGAATTGGAATATTTGTGAATTTAGGATTAAATGACAAGAATGACTATATTAAACAAAATAGAAAAGTTGAATTGAAAATTTAAAAGAATTTAACTTATGGTTGAAATTATGATATTATGGATTTAGAATCAAATTGGAAGAATATAAACTAAAGAATTAAATTATAAATATGGAAAAATTACGGATTAAAGTAGAAATTGAGTATGAGATGATGTGTAAAATCTAAAAAATTATTAGAGGGACATGAATAGTTAAATTGAGATTTGGTTTAATGTGAAAAGTTGTATAAGACAGAGATCAAATTCGTAAGTTTTAGGAAAGTTGGTGATGAAACGACAATTGGGTAAAGTTAATGTATTACATTTAATATAATGTGAAAAGTTGATATGGATTTAAATTGAATATACGGAACTAATTTGCAGATATACTAAATATTAGATTTATAATTGAAAAAAAGTTAATAGTGGTTAAATATGAAATGTTGAAAATTCAAGTGAATGATTGTAAAAAATAACGTTAGTACCAATTTGGTAAAAGAAATTAGTATCGAATAACCGTTTAATATTTTTAAAATTTATTTGAACTGAATTATTAAGTTAATTAAAGTATTAATATATGTTAAAATAATGTATGGAGTTGATAATTATTCTTTAAATGTTTTATATTATAAAGATATAAGACATAAATAAAGCCACTTATAAGACATGAAGTCAATGATGCAAGAGATAGAGTGAATAAGTATAGATCACTCATATGACTCATGTACCTTTGTGGTGCATGAGATGGAGTGATAATTGAATACAACATATCACTCATATGACTCATATACCTTTGTGGTGCATGGGGTCGAGTGATAATTAATACAATGCATATCACTCATATGACTCATGTACCTTTGTGGTGCATGAGGTGGAGTGATAATTGAATACAATACAAATCACTCATATGACTCATGTACCTTTGTGGTGCATGAAGTGGAGTGATAATTGAATACAGTACAAATCACTCATATGACTCATGTACCTTTGTAGTGCATGAGGTGGAGTGATAATTGTATACAATACATATCACCCATATGACTAATATACCTTTGTGGTGCATAAGGTGGAGTGATAATTGAATATAATATGTATCATTCATATGACTCATGTACCTTTGTGGTGCATGAGGTGGAGTGATAATTGAATACTGCAAAGATCACCCAATGAGACTAAAGTATCATACATTCTCATGAGTATGTACTGGGCTATAAAATGGAATTAAAGAAATAGTACATGACATGGTATATTATATGAAACAATACAACATCATATACAAAACAGTAAAAGATACAATACAATAAGAGAAATGGTGTGATAAAAGAAAAGATACAGTAAAGAAATCAGTACAAAAATGAACAATACACTGTACGAATAATACAAGAAAAGAATAATATAGTAAAATGATTGGTACAGAAAAAGTAAGTATATGATAAGGAACGATATAAGTTTAATTATTACATTTATAGTAAAATGTAATAAACATAGTGTAAATTACATTGAATGGTTATAGACTATGAATTATATTGGTTTGAATTTCAGTGGGAGGTCGTGAGGCGATAGACAACAACTAAACTTGTTTTAGAATAAATCTGATTATAGATGTTATAGATATTTTATGTATAGTGTTGTAAAAGAAATTCTAGAAATTATGCTCAAACGAGAAATGATATAGTATAAGAAATAAAGAAAGGTGAAAATATGATAAGATACTAATGGTTTATGAGGGTAGTAAAATATTGTATTATAAAAATTAATCGGTTAAGTTTTAAATTAAGTAATTTTAGATTATGATATGTAATAATTTAACTTCCACTTTACATTCGATCCCGCATAGTATTTGGGTAGTTTAATATTATTTCACATCATAATCTAAAACTGCCTAATTTAAAACTTAATCGATTAATCTTTATAATACAATATTTTACTACCCTTACATAACCATTTAGTATCTTATCATATTTTCACCTTTCTATATTAAAAACTAGACTTGAATACAGATCACTCATGACTCATGTACCTTTGTGGTGCATGAGATGGAGTGATAATTGAATACAATACATATCACTCATATGACTTATGTACCTTTGTGGTACATGGGGTCGAGTGATAATTGAATACAGTACAGATCACTCATATGACTCATGTATCTTTGTGGTGTATGAGGTGGAATGATAATTAAATACAATACAAATCACTCACATGACTCATGTACCTTTGTGGTGCATGAAATGGAGTGATAATTGAATACAATACATATCACTCATATGATTCATGTACCTTTATGGTGCATTAGGTGGAGTGATAATTGTATACAATATAGATCACTCATATGACTAATATACCTTTGTGGTGCATAAGGTGGAGTGATAATTGAATACAATACATATCACTCATATGATTCATGTACCTTTGTGGTGCATGAGGTGGAGTGATAATTGAATACTGCAAAGATCACCCAATGAGACTAGAACATCATACATTCTCATGATTATGTACTGGGCTATAAAATTAAATTAAAGAAATAGTACATGTCATGGTATATTATATGAAATAGTACAACATCAAATACAAAATAGTAAAAGATACAGTACAATAAGAGAAATAGTGTAATAAAAGAAAAGATACAGTAAAGAAATTAGTACAAAAAAAGGAACAGTACACTGTAAGGAATGATACAGGAAAAAGAATAATATAGTGAAAGGATTGGTACAAGAAAAAGAGTAAGTATGATAAGGAACAATATAAGTTTAATTATTACATTTTAAAGTAAAATGTAATAAACATAGTGTAAATTACATTGAATGGTTATAGACTATGAATTATTGGTTTGAATTTTCAGTAGGTCGTGAGGCGGTAGACAACAACCAAAGAAACTTGTTTAGAATAAATCTGATTATAGATGTTATAGATATTTTATGTATAGTGTTGTAAAAAGGAAATTCTAGAAATTGTGCTCAAACAGGAAATGATATAGTATAAGAAATAAAGAAAGGTGAAAATATTATAATATTCTAAATGGTTATGTATGAGGGTAGTAAAATATTGTATTATAAAGATTAATCGGTTAAGTTTTAAATTAGGCAGTTTTAGATTATGTTATTTAATATTTTAATTTTCACTTTACATTCGATCTTGCATAGTATTTGGGCAGTTTAATACTATTTCATATCATAATCTAAAACTGCCTACTTTAAAACTTAACTTATTAATCTTTATAATACAATATTTTACTACCCTCATACATAACCATTTAGTATCTTATCATATTTTCACCTTTCTATATATTAAAAACTTGACTTGAATATGAATCTATACATAAATATCAGTTAAGGGTGTTACAGAAAATTCATATTTCATGATGGATACGTGCTCACCCTCACTAGACCGAGGCTTGGCCATTGGGCAAGGCCCTACCGACCCCTAATTGTTAAACCATCATCAAAAGTTAAATATTGAGAAAAGATTTGGGTGCCCAAATGTTTTTGATGGAACATGAATGAATGGAATCTATTGGTAGTTCGAATTGAGACAAATCAATCCGATGAATCTTAAATACATTTCTTAGTATGATGCATGGATTCGTAGAAACGTAAGTAAAATGGTTTTTAAATTCACAACAGGATTGGTTCAAGTGATAAGAATTTGATATTTAAGTAAGGTTTAAGATTCGAGTCCTTATGTATGCAAAAAATATATGCTTAGAGATTCACCCACCAAACCTAAGTGCACGACGTGAATTGGTCTAGATTAATCACCATATATATAAATAAAATTTATTGCTTGACTTAGATTCTTTCTTTAATTTATTTGGAAGATTTGTGCTACAAGACTTCCGGCGTGATTGTATGTTGGTTTTTATTTGTGGAATTTTGTTGAGGGTAAAACCTGGGTTATGATAATTGTAAATGATTTATTTATTTTAATTTTAATTAAGAATTGTGATCAGCTTTGTTTTAGAGGAAAAATAGACGACACATAGATTGAAGTTAATGATGAACATTTATCGAGAGAAAAAAAATCCTTTCATTAACCTTGCATGACAACTTATATAGTGATCTTAGTGTTTTGGGCTCATGGCCATGATGACTATCAGTAGGCTGATAAGACAGAAAGATATGATTGTCAGATAGTAAATTTGCCTATGATTAATCATGAGTTTGTCAAATAATACTTTAATAGTATGTTAATTATCTTAAAAACATGAAATATCACGCTTTGAGAAATCTTGAGAATATAGATGTTCAAAAGATATGAAGCTCCAGAAGCCTCAACACTTGACAAACGAAGGAATAACAACAAGATGTTACTTTCAAGGGAGATTCAAATGAGATATAATGAATTTTATTTTTAAGGTACTAAATAAATTACTTAAATTATCGTACTTTGAATAAATACATTTGTCTAGTTGACTAAACTGTTCATAGTTATTCATTCATATTCTCTTAGGTCTTAAGTTCTGGATCCACTACGAGTATTCATCCTCCTTCTTAGAGTTCCTCTTTTCCTCCCTCTAGATAAAATTAATATTGAATATTTATAATTTATCAAAAAGAAAAATACTCATAATCTATCAATCATTAAATTTGGGATAATTGTATTTAAACGCACTTAATCTATCGTTCTATTATAGCATCAATAGTGTCGAATGTGCTAATATCTGATCAATAATGTTATTTGTGGAATTAAAAATTAATTAGCATTCTAAACAATAATTAAATTTTTCATAAGAAAAACTAGAAGATTAATCTTAAGATCCGACATCAATTAGAGGTAAAATAATATTATTGTCTGTACTAGTGATACATTGTATACTTATTCGACAATAATAATTATAAATTAAATATAAGATTAACGATGACTAAGTTTATGATTATACAAATCAAAACTATATGGAGTACGTCATTTGGATAACGTTTTTACTATGACGCATGCTTTGTGACATACTAGAAAGTGCAAGCCTTTTGGTCATCTTCGCGAATAAAGAACAGATACATTAATTAAACTAATGATAAAAAATGACTTTGTTTTATAAGTAATTTAATCAACAAATCAATTTATCTTAGTGGTTAAAAGAATCATTGTTATTTCTAGAAGTCACAGTTTTGAGCACCAACACGACCAGCAAGATGACTAAGATAACAATGTTATATTAATTATTTGACTTTTAATTATATTTGGTTTAACAAGATTAATTTTATTTATACCTCTAAATAAATAAATAAATTGAGAATACCTATGATTTGATAACATATAATGTTATTTTATTATTGAACAATCTTTTAATTAAAGATGAGACAGGATTTATAGAAAATAAAGTAAAAGGAATGATTTTGAAAACAAGATTTTACTAAAAAAAATGAATTCGATAGAAAGGTTTTGGGATAAGTATTGAAACCTCTTGATGTTTTGAATAAAAAATCATTTACCCTCTGTGGCGTGGAAAATGCTCACACTTCGATGAAATTTTGCCATAACCCTTAATGTTTATTTATTAACTCAATTTCAAATTAAAAATGCATCCATCATTTATTTATTTTTTTATAATCAATTATATTCAATTTATTAATTGATTCATCTGAATTAAATACTGAAAAAATGAGGACGACTTAACCAACCCAACTTGCTTTATTGATAAATTATTACTCACTTCGTCCTCATAAAAATATCCCTTATTAATTGTTTAAAAGTTAATTTTTTAAACATTGACCATAATTATTTTAAATATTTTAAATTATTAATTTTATTAAATATATATTTGAAAACTATTTAATTAAAGGCTTTTAAGATATATTTTTAGTAATTATAAATTTAAATAATAACTGGTCAAAATGGTTTTGAATCTGAAATAAAATGTCTTGGCATGATGCTTATAAACACAAGAAAAATGGTTTTGAATTTTGATGTGTTGGGGAAACCAGGTTATTTTCCACACGAACGTAGTTTCAAAATTGACCTAAAATGTCAAGATCAAAACCAACGAAGGTTGCACAACGAATAAACCTGTCAAACTATTGAATATTGAAACACAATGTAAAAATCGAATAAAGAACAATAAAGGAGAGAACACACCAAATTTACGAGGTTTGACGAGAATATCGTCTACTCCTCGGGCACCACACCGTATGATAACTTCACTATCAACAAATATTACAACAAATGAAATTCTTTAGAATTCCTAAAGTGAGAGAATGAAGAAAACAAGAGGAAGAGAGAACTTGTTTTGGGATGATTTCTAATGAAATACTTAGGCCTATTTATAGTTGAGCTTTACGAACTAAACTTATAAATAACCTAATATTTTAGGGATCAAAGATGAAAAATAAGTTAGCCACCTACCAAAGATTTTTCCAATAAGTTGGCCACCAACCAAGATGAATTTTCCAATAAATTGGCCACCAACCAAGATAAAATTTCTAACTTGCCAAACTTAATTTCAAACCAAACATAACAAATCTCCACCTTGGCTTGAAATTACCGAGCCTACTCAACTTCTTCAACTCCCCAAATTTGATGTTGTGCCTCTAATTGCGCTCACAAGCGCTACACACCCGAAGGTGTTCATACTTTCAGGATGTTAATTAAGTTCAAACAATGATTGAACTTGATTACTGTTACTACCTTGGTCATCATATATGCAGGATTTTTTGTTGTCATAATTTTCTGAAGCAGAATCTTTCCTTCTTCAAAGATCTCCCGCACAAAGTGATACCTCACGTCGATATGCTTAGTTCTTGAATGGTAGACTTGATTTTTCGCTAAGTGAATAGCACTTTGACTGTCACGATAGAGACTAATGTGACTTTGAACAACTCCCAAGTCTTCCATCAACTCGTTAAGACAAATTGTTTCTTTCACATCTTCTGAAACTGCCATGTATTCTGCCTCTGTAGTAGACAAAGCCACCGTAGATTGTAAAGTAGACTTCCAACTTATTGGGCTTTAGCAAGAGTAAACAAATACCCAGTAGTTGATCGACACTTATCCAAATCACCAGCATAGTCAGAATCAACATATCCAACCACACACTGACCAAGTATTTCATCCTGTTCAAAAACTAAACCAACATCCACAGTTTGTTGGAGATACCGTAGAATCCATTTCACAGCTTGCCAATGTCCTTCTCTAGGATAATGCATGTACCTGCTCACAACTCCAACTGCTTGTGAAATGTCACGATGCGTACACACCATTGCATACATCAAGCTCCCAACTGCATTAGCATATGGAACGTTTGCCATATATTCTCGTTCTTCGTTACTTTTAGGAGATAATTGAGAACTAAGTTTCAAATGAGAAGCCAGTGGGATACTTACATGTTTGATATTTTCATTCATGCCAAAACATTGTAATACCTTTATCAGATATTGCTTCTGTGTTAAACAAAGCTTACCTCTCTGTCTATCTCTGCTTATCTCCATACCAAGAATCTTCTTGGCCTCACCTAGATCTTTCATCTCAAACTCTTGATTCAACTGAGCCTTTAATTTGTCTATCTCTTTTTATTCTTCGAAGCGATCAACATATCATCAACGTACAAGAGAAGATAAATGAAAGATCCATATTTGAGCTTTTGCAAATACACACAATAAAGCTATCAAATCACTTATACCACTACCTCGGAGATTACTTCAATCCATATAGCGATTTGTTCAGCTTACAAACCCATTTCTCACAACCACCATCTTTGTATCCTTCTGGCTGAGTCATATAGATCTCCTCTTCTAAATCACCGTGCAAGAAAGTCATCTTTATATCAAGTTGAGCTAGCTCCAAATTCAACTGTGCTACCAAGGCCAATAATATTCTAATGAAGGAATGCTTCACAACAGGGGAAAATACTTCATTGTAGTTGATTCCCTCCTTTTGAGCGTAGCCTTTAGCTATCAATTGTGCCTTGTAGCGAACATATTTCTTGTTATGAGATCCATCTTTCTTTGCAAATATTCACTTGCATCCAATTGCTCTTTTACCTTTCGGTAATTGTGCCAGTTTCCAAGTGTTATTCTTTTGAAGAGATTTCATTTCTTCATCCATGGCATTTTTCCACTTATCACTTTCCAAGCTTTGTATTGCTTCTTAGTAAGTGATAAGGATATCATCATCAACAACTGGAAGAGCATAGGCCACCATATCAACAAATCGAGCAGGTCTACGAATTTCTCTCATTGGCCTTGTAACTGCAAGTGGTTTTGGTGTCTCCAATGGTTCTTGGGTTTGAACCTCTTCATCTTCTGATTCTTCTATTGGAGTTGAAGAATCAACTGCATCAACTTCTAGGATCATCGTTTGCTGAAACTCCACCTGTTTTGAAGTATGCACCACCTGCTGTAGAGTACTACTTGTCTGGACAGCGTCATTTGTTACATTCTTTACTAGGGCAGATTCATCAAAGGTAACATCTCTGCTACAAATTATCTTCTTGGTGTCTAAACACCAAAGGCGAAATCCTTTCACTCCATGGGTGATTCCCATAAAGAGAGCCTTATTTGCTCTTGGATCAAGCTTGGATTCCTTCACATGATAATAAGCAGTGGATCCAAATACATGTAAGGAATCATAATCAGTAGCAGGTTTTCCAGGCCATACCTCCAATGGTGTTTTTCCTCCTATCGCTGATGATGGCAGACGATTGATAAGATGGCCAACATATGTCACAGCCTCAACCCAAAATACCTTTCCTAACCCAGCATTAGACAATTTACATCGAACTTTCTCCAATAGTGTTCGATTCATATGCTCTGTCACCCCATTATGTTGTGGTGTAT